AACAAAAACAAGAGCATGGACCACCATAACCAGATCAGAATCCCAAGAGCCACCCAAATTTAACTCCGTTCTGCCATACACAATCCAAGCACTCCCGACAGATGGCCATCCAGTCTCTGATTAAAAACCTCCAGGGAAGGAGACCCCATCACAATCCATTCCAACTTGAAGATTGCCATCTCGAAAATCAACAGAACGACAGATTCGTCACCATGGAAGAAACCTCAAAGGCTATCCCATCCACCCCCATTCTGCCAGGAATGCATAGACACCATCTAAGCATTCCTGACAGATGACCGTACAGCCTTTATTAAAAACCTCCAGAGAAGGAGGCGACATATTCCACTACCAAACAGCCTCTATCAATCGAGTTCAACAAATGCTACGTTCAGCAAAGGACAAGAAGGATCCTTTTACTTCTGTATAGACTGGCTGTGGACCAGTCTATATAGGGATTACCAAACACAGCAGCATTGTCCAGACACGAATCAAGGAACATGAAAGGCACTACAGACTAATTCAACAGAGAAGTCAGCCATAGCAAAGCACCTGATGAACCAACCTGGACACAGCATATTATTTGAAAACACAGAAATGCTGGACCATCCTCACAACCACCATGTCAGACTATACAGAGAAGCCATTGACATCCACAAGCATGTGGACCATTTCAACAGAAAGGAAGAAACCATGAAAATAAAGTAAATAATAAATAAATAAAATGAACAAAATCTGGCTGCGAGTATTTTACAACTCTAAAATCAGAACAGTAAATATATAGATATTTTGTATCAAAAGCATTGCATAAATTAGTAAATAACAGTAAATAAAGAGCAACAATCAGAAAACAGGGAAATTCCAGACAGGAAACAATCAGGGACAGCTGGCACCTCCAACAAAGGTTTGCCCCAGTCAGGAAGCAGCCAGGATTTGATTCTGCAAGGCTATTCAATGCTAATCATGCTCGTCAATTATAACATTCACACTTGCCTCAAACAGACAAGAGTTTTTCTCCCACCCTGGACATTCAACAGATATGTAAATGTATTTATTTCTTTATTTACATCACTTTTATCCCGCCCTTTTCAGCCCAAAGGCGAGGCAGGGTGGCATACAAACTGGCAACAATTAGATGCCACAACACACATACATACATCAGTTAAAAGCAGTTAAATCACATGACAAAATTCATATAAAAACCATTAAAACTATAATAATGTCTTCCAGTTCAACTCCTTTTACAACATTTAAGCGATTCCGTAAACCCAATTTTCCTAGTTTCCAACAGACCGCACAACCTCTGAGGATGCCTGCCATAGATGTGGGTGAAACGTCAAGAGAGAATGTTTCTGGAACATGTCCATACAACCCGGAAAACTCACAGCAACCCAATTAAGTTCTCCCTAACATTTAGGTGGAATTTTGTTTCCGGCAATTTGAATCCATTAATCTGTGTCCTAGTCTTTAGAGCACCAGAAAATAAGCCTGCCTCCTCCTCAATGTGGCAAACTTTCATTTTGGAATCTGATCCTGTCCTCTGGCATTATAGCTTTCCTTCCCAATTTGGTGTCATCTGCAAATTTTATAAATACGCTCTCGATTCCATCAGTCCAAGTCATTGATAAAGATGTTGAATAACCCTGGGCCCAGGACAGAGAACTCTTTATGGGACCCCACTAGTCACTTCTTTCCAAGACGAAGAGAAGGAGCCCATGGGAAGCACCCTTTGGGCTTGGCTGGTTAACCAATCAAGTCGGACTCTGGAATGTGGTGCTCATCTCCATTTCTAAGCCGAAGAGCCGCCGTTGTCCGTAGACACCTCCTAGGTCATGTGCCCGGCATGACTGCATGGAGTGCTGTTACCTTTCCGCAGAAGCAGTACCTATTGATCTACTCACATTTACATTTTTTTGAATTGCTACGTTGGCAGAAGCTGGGGCTAACAGCAGGAGCTCATCCTGCTCCCTGGATTCGAACCGCCAACCTTTCAGTCAGTAAGTCCTGCAGCTTAGTGGTTAACCCACTGCACCACTGTGGCAACACATCATTAGTTTACTAGTAATGTCCAGTATAATATATGGCAGGTTACAGCGCCCATACTATGTACCTTGTTGCAACAGCTCCACCGGCTGCCAGTTTGTTTCTGGCTCAATTCAGAGTGCTGGTCATAACCTGTGAAGTCCTATATGGCTATGATCAAGGCCATTAGACAGACTATATCTCCCTGTATGAGCTAGCCTGGACTCCAAGATCATCAGGAAAGGCCCTTCTCTTAATCCCTCCACCATCGACACGAGACACCCTTCTTGGTGGCTGCTCCTTGACTCTGGAACTCACTTCTTAGGAAGCCAAGAATGTCCTTCCTTCATCAAGCTAAAATATTTTTCTTCAAGGCAGACTTTTCAAAACAGAAAGCTTTAAAACAAAGGTTTATCCGGTGCTATATTATCATAGAATCATAGAATCAAAGAGTTGGAAGAGACCTCATGGGCCATCCAGTCCAACCCCCTGCCAAGAAGCAGGAATATTGCATTCAAATCACCCCTGACAAATGACTAATTAAATGTTTTAATTGAACTGATTATAAAAGATAAAGGTAAAGGTTTCCCCATGACATTAAGTCCAGTTGTGTCCGACTCTGAGGGGTGGTGCTCATCTCCATTTCTAAGCTGAAGAACCAGCAGTTGTACGTAGACACCTCCAAGGTCATGTGGCCAGCATGACTACATGAAGCGCCGTTACCTTCCCACAGAAGCAGTACCTATTGATCTACTCACATCTGCATGTTTTTGAACTGCTAGGTTGGCAGAAACTGGGCCCAGTAGTAGGAGCTCACCCCACTCACCAGATTCAAACTGCCAATCTTTCAGTCAGCAAATTCAGCAGCTTAGCAGTTTAATCTGCTGCGCCACCGGAGGCTCCAGTGATTTTAACTGATTTTAAAAACTTTTAATTTTGTTCTTTAAATGTCTCTGTACTATAGCTTAATTCTATTTTTAACACTCACTTTTTGTATGCTTTTAATTGTATCGTTCTTTTGTATTATGAGCTGCATTTGTGTCTCAATTATGGAAAAATAAAGGACACAAGTAAATATAAAGAGTAGCAACAACAACATATGATTACTCAATGTTTTATGAATATCCTCTTCATTCTACCAGTCAACTTCTTGCTTTGGCATTTCTTACGAAAATTAAAACGGTAAAATTATTCCAGTATTAACTATTTTTCCCTGAATAATTTTCTTAGAGCTTAATCTTTTTCACAAGCTGCGGAAGACACTAAATATTGTCAAAGGGGAGTTCAAAAGCCCACACAGTTAGAAAGAACCATGCATGTCCAATGCGTGCATGGATTAAGCGCAATGTTTGCTGAATGAAGGAATCCAAGAATCTTTATTTTTAAAGAAAGTTTCCAGTCCTAATGGTGCAGACTGAAAAATGTGGTTTAGAAGAATGGATTTCAATTTAATAGAACCTGAAGCTCAATTATTTGCCCTCAATAGAGGGCACTGTGATATATCTTACATGGTTGCCCTTCTATGTCACTTACAGTGCGCAATTATGTAAACATAAGCCACTTAAAAGGGGAAACTGGTATAGATCCCATTCAAGGACATGACGCTAATAAAAGGAAATAACTACATGAAATTTAAATCTCAGGCAAACAAACTTAGGGACGCCCTCTTTCATCTTGAAGCCTTAACTTTTGCATGAGCTCAAAGGTCCTATCAGTCTCTCTCTCCTCCCCTCAGGAACAAGTGTTCTGTACACACAGTATACACTGTAGAGCAAGGACTTTTTGGAGAGGTTTGGCTCTGTATTCTAGCCTCTGCCATCCTAACTTCTGAATATCTAGGAACAAAAAAATTCTACCTTTAGCTTTTTGCAAAATTACATTTTCATTCTCCAAATTTGCTTATGCTATGATCTGTGCAAATGTTTTGCATTAATATGAGTTTAATTTGTATCTTGCTTTCAGCAATGTTATGATGTGCTACTAGGAATGCTCTCTTCCAAACTAAGCAACCACCAAATAAAAATTCATTTCAAGCACACATAGCTTCAAAACATCTAACATGTATGTGGAAGGAAGTCCAAACTTTTGTGTACATGTTTTGCACATGGTTCTGAATCCTGAGGGTTATAAATAATGTACCTTGAGAAAGTTATGGAGTAACTTGTGATAAAGAAACATCATAACCACATATCCAAAGGAAAAGCATAAGGTAACAAGATAAGCAAAAAGGAAACAATTAACGTGAACAGCCGTGCAAATACACTATACAAAGATACACAAGAGTATAAAACAGCAATGAGGCCCGCCATCTGTTCTTAAGACTCTGAGTCATCTATTACCACTGGGCTACGAAGGCTATGACTGATGGCTGTTGGAGTACAACATCTGGAGTCCCACATGTCTCTCTTCACCCACTATAAACCATGCTTCACATCTGTTCACTCACATTTATCATTTGTTTGTTGAAAAGAGTCTTAGCTAAAATATTAACTACATTTATTTAAAAAATGTAAGACTAGCGTACAGTATATTACAATGCACCCTAATCTCAATGATGGAGTTCTCTCTGCCGCAACTACATACTGGAGATTTTTTAAAAAGTATCTATTAATCCATTTCTCAAATTTTCAGAATGATGGTTCTCAAGAATACATACATTACTTACAATTTTCTGCAAAGATCAACCATTCATAATTTTGAATTTCACGTAAATCTTTTTATATTAAGAGTCCTGAAATCCTAAACCCATTTAGCAACAACCTTTAGGACTTCCTTACATGTACATATCCATTCCCAACATGCCTAAAATGACATATTTCAGAGATTTCTTTCTACATATCCACTAGACCCAGACATAATGGTCAATGGAGACTTATAGTTTTCAAATATGGATTATGGTTATGTTAAAAAGATTTTCAAGCCAGGTATTCAAGGTGCACTTGTACGTACATTACGTATTTGTGCAAAGCCAATACACTCACCGGTACTTCCTCCTCCTTTTGTTCTTTTTTTTCATCCTCTTCCTCTTCACTTCCAGCATTATCTCCGTCTTCTTCATCACTGCTGGAGGATTCCAAAATTTCCCGCATATCCATCTTCCAATTAATGGGTATAACTTTCAGGCTGGAGAAGCAGTTTGCCTCTTGTACCCCTTTGGAGGAAAACAATCCATGCTTACTCTTCTCAAGGACTAACTATCAAAACAACATTATTACCGATTAGCACCACCTCCACTTCTTTGCTCAAGCATTTTAACCTCCTTGTTCAGGTCACAAAATTTAGTGCTAGTTTGTCAATTTCTGATTTTTAAAAACAACAAGTTCAAGTGACTAAGTGACAACACAGGCATTTACAAATTCCTCTTCTAACAGACTAGTCTGAATATATGAATACTATCTCCCTTCTCAGAATATTTATTTATTGCGTCAGGAGAACCGTTATAATTTTTGAACAAAGTTCAAAAATTGTCGAAGGCTTTCATGGCCGGAATCACTGGGTTGTTGTAGGTTTTTTCGGGCTATATGGCCATGGTCTAGAGGCATTCTCTCCTGACGTTTCGCCTGCATCTATGGCAAGCATCCTCAGAGGTAGTGAGGTCTGTTGGAACTAGGCAAAAGGGTTTATATATCTGTGGAATGACCAGGGTGGGACAAAGGCACAGTCAGGCCATTGTATGCTAATCAAAGTGGTCAATTGAAACATTCACACCTAGCCCCAGCAGAGAAGAGTCCTTTGTGTCACCCTGGTCATTCCACAGATATATAAACCCTTTTGCCTAGTTCCAACAGACCTCACTACCTCTGAGGATGCTTGCCATAGATGCAGGCGAAACGTCAGCAGGGAATGCCTCTAGACCATGACCATATATCCCGAAAAACCCTACAACAACCCAAAGTTCAAAAAACTTGGAATTATGCTAAATGTCCTTTGTCCAGAAGTTGGCCACTTGGAGTGCCTCTGGTGTCGCTGTGAGAAGGTTCTCCATTGTGCATGTGGCAGGGCTCAGGTTGCATTGTAGTAGGTGGTCTGTGGTTTGCTTTTTTCTGCACTCACATATTGTGGACTCCCACTCAGTAGCCCCATTTCTTAAGGTAGGAGCCCCCGGTAGTGCAGTGGGTTAAACCCCTGTGCCGGCAGGACTGAAGACCGACAGGTCGCAGGTTCGAATCCAGGGAGAGCGCGGATGAGCTCTCTCTATCAGCTCCAGCTCCTCATGCGGGGACACGAGAGAAGCCTCCCACAAGGATGGTAAAACATCAAAAAAACATCCGGGCGTCTCCTGGGCAATGTCCTTGCAGACAGCCAATTCTCTCACACCAGAAGCAACTTGCAGTTTCTCAAGTCGCTCCTGACACAACAAAAAAAAAATTCTTAAGGTTGGATCTGCATCTTGTGGTGCCAGAGCACTGCCTGTTCAGCGCCTTCCAAGTCGCCCAGTTTTCTGTGTGCCCAGGAGTGATACTCTCATTTGGTTATCAGCCACTGATTGAGGTTCTGGCTTTTCGCCTGCCATTTTTGCTGAGGTGTTCCTGTAAGTATTTCTGTAGATCTTAGGAAGCTATTTCTTGATTTAAGATGTTGGTGTGCTGGCTGATATCTGAACAGAGGATGGGCTGGAGATGTGAATGTCTTGGTCCTTTCATTATTGGCTGATACTTCCCAGCAGATATCAGGTGGTGCTAAACAGTATAATTTCTCCAACAGTTTGGACATAGACATCCTGTGATAATGTGGCATGTCTCATTAAGAGCCACATCCACTGTTTTAACATCGTGAGATGTGTTCCACACTGGGCATGCATATTCAGCAGCAAAGTAACAAAGTGCAAGGGCAGATGTCTTCACTGTACCTGGTTTTGATCCCCATGTTTTGACGGTCAGCTTTTGTATGATGTTATTTCTAGCGTCCACTTTTTACTTGATATTCAAGCAGTGCTTCTTGTAAGTCAGAGCATGGTCCAGGGTAACTCCCAGGTATGTGGGTGTGCTGCAATGCTCCAATGGGATTCCTTCCCAGTTAATCCTCAGAGCTCAAGATGCTTGTCTGTTCTTAAGATGAGAAGTACACACCTGTGTTTTAGATGGACTAGGAATGAGCTGATTTTCCCTGTAATAGGCAGTAAGAGCACCCAAAGCTTCGGTGAGCTTCTGTTAAACCATTCCAAAGCTCCCGGCTTGAGCGGTGATGGCACAATCGTCAGCATAGATAAAACCAAAGAGTTACACATAGTGTAGAATTCCCAGCCTGATTAAAAATGTTACACTTTATATGTGTTTATAATTGTTGATGGCATTCTCTATCCTGCTGTCTTACATACTTCTTGCAATGAAGATAGTATTCAAAATGCCATGATCTTGACATATGTAAACACTGATGGTCCAAATAAATGCAACACTTCACCAATCTTGGAGTCCTTGTTTTAGTAGCCTTGAAAGTTAGTTCTTAGATGAAATGAAATAAGTTATGTTTCTTTCAATATAAACCTTTGCCCTCGTGACATCCAATAGTGCCACTTCCAATGTCAACTTTGTCCATGGGACTAGATGGATTGTTGATACTAATATTCTTAGTATCCTGTCCAGATGCATTAGATCTTTTTTAAAACTCTTCTCTACTTTATATTGTTTTTTTCTTTCTGACCCAAAATAAGTTATTGTCTTTGTAGTTCAACAACTGCTTCTTTTTTGAAATTTATTAGAAAACCTGAAAACTGTAAATACTGTAATGTCAATATGAGGCTGTGGTTTGGCCTTTTATCTTCATCTAGGTTTCAGCAAAATATTGCCTGAACAGTTGAACAACTGAACTCCCTTGGGTGCTCAAAAACTCTCTCAATGGAATTGGTACTTTGGTGAAAACTCTGGTGAGTATGCCAGGCTGAAAGACAGCACCCTTTTCCATCAACAGAAATATTTCCATCAGTAAAAAAAAACCTGATTTTATCATAGCAGACTTCCAACTTGATGGTTCCTCATAAGGTTCTTCCTCCAGGGGCAAACCAAGAATGGGCAACTTGGAAGTGGGCAGATCAAAAGACAACCTGGCAAAATGGCATTACCTAGAAGAATCTTCCACCTTGTGAAATTGTGGAGCAGAACAAACAACTCTGCATCTGCCTCATGCACAGAGGAAAAACTGTTCAAAGCTAGAGTCAATGCATTTGCTGTTGCCCGTTTTTGGTCTAAAATTATTGAGCTACTTGTGCTCCCTTCATTTCATCAGTTTTATATTTATTTATTTATTTATGCAATGCTTTTGACATGAAATAAAATCAATCATAGCAGAACATCTTTCTAGCTAATGTGACCAGCTTACTTATGTGGATAACTAACACAAAGTTAGAGAAACTAGGACATTCTGACTAGGGCTCTTTTCACCAAGAGAGTCATGCTTTTCAATGTTTGAAGATACCATGCCAGTAAATTTCAGCATACCAAGATGACAAAGAGAAATGTTTCAATCTCATAAACATCTAGATGATAAGGTGAATTCATACATCATATTTCTTATACATTCCTTTAAAATCAACAAAATGTATGACAATATCCTACACTAAGTTGAACTAACTGTGGATCCAGTCCACCGTATTGTTTCATTCAAGAGCAAACACATGTTTCTTGCTTTCCGAATATGAAATCTATGCTGTCAGTGTTTTCTCACGTTCTGTTAATTGTTACCAACATATCTGCTGGCAACACAAGTAAAATAGCCTGAATACATTCCCAATGGTGCAATATCATACTCTCATCATGCTATCTTAACATTCCGTCTCCTAAATTATAATAATGAATAATATTTACCTTTTCTAGACGATAACTCAGGTTTTGCAATGTTTTTGACGTCCAGTTCCTCAATGTCCTTTCTTGCTACTGAGTAACTGCAAGAGAATTGGTTAATTCTATTACATATAACATATTAAAAATCTGTCTGAGTTTTTTACTCTATTTGTTTTCATTACAAAGTGTTTTCTTTTGCATGGTAAGAGTGACAACATTTCTGTTCTTTGTTGTTGGTAAACAACTGAAGAGATTATTTAAATATTTACAACATAGTAAATTAATCTAGCATTCTTGTATTTAACATGCCAAATCGAAAGCATAAACAATTATTTCAGGATTATTTTAAGTCACTAAACATCACAGAGAAGTCACCACACCAAATAACACTCTTGAAAACAATTCTCTTTATATTTCACTAGTTTCACTTGTTTTAGCCATATAAGAATATGAGTATTAGCAGTTGAGTACAGATCACTGATCTTGGATATAGGTTCAAATTCCTGATTCATCATAGATTTACTGGCTGAATTTAGCCAAATTACTACTTCCCAGTCTAAAGGAAGCAATAACGCAATTTTAAATGTGTCCTTAGCTGTGAGGATACTGAAATAAGGCCTGTGAAGCAGTATGGCTGCAAACAAACACCTATGAGCAAGCAGCACCCCATTTATCCAGCTGTCTTAATCATTATCATTGTATTTATATCCTACCTTTGTTCCTCAAGTCTGAAATTCTGTTACAAATGTTAACAGAAGCAACTAAAAAGTGCACAGCGCAAGTGTTAAGATATAATAAAATTAAAAATAGCTATTTGAACAAATGCAAAACCGTTCAGTACTTCTGTTGCATTAGACTCACCACCATCCAAGTATCCTGCAAGGTCTACACACGTATCGGGATGGTAAGCTTACTAAAGGTAGTCGTAGTCAACGTTACAAAGACTACAGTCCTTAAGTCCTGGCCAATTTGGCCACTAGTCAGGCATGCTGAACCCAATTGTTCCACATAACTGGGGGACATCAAGTTGGAAAGGGTGACAAAACTAGAAATATATTTGAGCAGAGAGTGGAACTGTAGATGAGGGATATTTGCAATTTGAAGCCTAGCCTTTAATATAGAAACTAATGCAAAGTACAGGTGATCTTTCCCTCTAACAGATAATAGCTTTTGTTTACTGGAGTGTAACATATCTTGCAATATGCTCTGAAAAGTTCTGGTAATGTGCGTTACAAAAAATCAATTAAATAGTTAAAAAGCCATGTACGTAATGAAGGGGAAATTCTTTAATCAGCTAACAGGTCTTTTACGTTTCTCTGAAAACTAAAGAAACGTAGTCCCTCTTTACTTCTTCAGTCCATAACACTCAGACGTAGACTTCAGGTATATTGTAGGTTTTTTGGGCTGCATGGCCATGTTCTAGAACAGTGGTTCTCAACCTGGGGTCCCCAGATGTTTTTGGCCTTCAACTCCCAGAAATCCTAACAGCTGGTAAACTGGCTGGGATTTCTGGGAATTGTAGGCCAAAAACATCTGGGGACCCCAGGTTGAGAACCACTGTTCTAGAAGCATTCTCTCCTGACATTTCGCCTGCACCTATGGCAAGCATCCTCAGAGGTTGTGAGGATCCTCTGAGGCTGCCTGCCATAGATGCAGGTGAAATGTCAGAAGAGAATGCTTCTAGATCATGGCCCTACAGCCCAAAAAACCTACAACAGCCCAGTGATTCCAGTCATGAAAACCTTTGACAATACAGACTTCACATACTCTGACATGTCTTGCAATGGAGAGTTTAGATCCTAAATATTTGCTCAAAACAGGCTATGCACATGGAGAAATATACCTCAGATAGTTTAATGATAGGGGGAAAAAATAAAAACTCAGTTTTTGGCATATACATTTTGAATATGTTTCAACTACAGTTGTTCAAATTAAATGGTTTACAAAAAAACATTTGGAACAAAACTTTCATATATAATTTATGATTGCTGTAGTTCACTAATTATAAATTGCTGACTTATTTTAATTTAGACCAAATCTAACAAATACTAACATGTTGCTTTAATTGTGCTACATGTTCAGTAAGTCTGGAGGTTTATGCAGGAAAAATTGAACTCCTGGGAACATTTAAAAAGTTATGTTTTCATTTTGATTTTAACTGATCAGTTGTTTTTGCACTGAATTTTGCAATACCTGAAGTCTTAAGAGAAGCATAGAGAAATCATTTAAAACACTACTCACAATTTGGAATCTGCAAAGGATCGAACTAAACACTGGTCCTTTTTTACTGAGATATCATCACTGCAGCTGGGAGATACGACCTGAAATTTTTAAAAAGGCACATTGGAATATTACATTTAGGTTTTTCAAATTCTTTATCTAAAAGAAAAGAAGGCTCATAAATTTTCACATCTATTACGTTAGCTCTCAGTAGTCATAGGTAATCGCCTCCAAAGTTAATAACTACTGTATGTTGAATTATTTTTCTCCTTCTTTTAACATCATATCACCTAATAACATCAATATATTTACAACCAAGAAATATCAATATATTTACACCATGCGCAACTCACCTTGGCTTTAGGCAGTATTTTTCTCCCAGCTTTGTTTCACAACAACCTCTAAACTTAACATCTCAAGATACCCAAACATTTCGCATTTCTATTGCTATTCACACACAGAACCTGCTCATCCATGGGTATAAATGTCTGTCCATGGGCTCTTCACTCTGTGCATCTGATGAAGTAAACTTACAAAAGCTTACACTGCCAACTTGTTGTTCCGTTAGTTTCAAAGGTAGGGATCCCTCATGTCCAACAATTTGTATTTGAGAGTAAGCAGGAAGAGACATCAAAAACATTAAAAAATCATCTGGGCATCCCCTGGGCAACGTCCATGCAGACGGCCAATTCTCTCACACCAGAAGCGACTTGCAGTTTCTCAAGTCGCTCCTGACATGACAAAAAAAAAGAAGAAGAAGAAGAAGAAAAGAAAGAAAGAAAGAAAGAAAGCAGGAAGAGAGGATTTAATACACTATCTGATATATTGCTCTTTGTATAATGACCTAAGAAACAATCTTCTGGGAGCCCTCTTGGAAGAAAGGGCAGCATGGCAACAATTAGCAATTATCTGTGACTCATCAATGGATTATTCCAAAAATATAACATTAAAGGTTGCCATATTTGCAGGCGCAGCCCAAAAAATCCGAAATAAATTATTAAAGTCCAAAGCGAAGGCTAGAAATTGTAATGGAGATAGTTTGGGATGATACAAATCAGACATTTGTCTTGTTATCATGTCACTGCTACTATAATTTAAAAGAGACAGTATATGGAATAAGTTTTAATGTTTATATTGGAACGTGCTTATTTACTTTTAAAGGTTGTATATTACTTGATGTCAATTTAAACATGAGCCAACAATGTGATGCGGCGGCAAAAAAAGCCAATGGGATTTTGGCCTGCATCAATAGGAGTCTAGTGTCTGGATCCAGGGAAGTCATGCTCCCCATGCTCTATTCTGCCTTGGTCAGACCATACCTGGAATATTGTGTCCAATTCTGGGCACCACAATTGAAGAGAGATATTGACAAGCTGGAATGTGTCCAGAGGAGGGCGACTCAAATGATCAAGGGCCTGAAGAACAAGCCCTATGAGGAGCGGCTTAAAGAGCTGGGCACGTTTAGCCTGAAGAAAACAAGGCTGAGAGGAGACATGATAGCCATGTATAAATATGTGAGAGGAAGCCACAGGGAGGAGGGAGCAAACTTGTTTTCTGCTGCCCTGGAGACTAGGACGCAGAACAACGGCTTCAAACTACAAGAGAGGAGATTCCATCTGAACACGAGGAAGAACTTCCTGAATGTGAGATCCGTTCAGCAGTGGAACTCCCTGCCCCAGAGTGTGGTGGAGGCTCCTTCTTTGGAAGCTTTTAAACAGAAGCTGGATGGCCATCTGTCGGGGGTGCTTTGAATGCGATTTTCCTGCTTCTTGGCAGGGGGTTGGACTGGATGGCCCATGAGGTCTCTTCCAACTCTATGATTCTATGATACTACAGCCTATGTCTAGTACAATAAACCACTCATTCATTCATATAGTTAGTTTGAAGGGTGTTATAACATCCCTTTCTTTTCATACACAGACTACCATAAGAGTTTAAATTAGGGGTCCTCAAACCTTTTAAAAAGAGGGCCAGGTCACAGTCCCCCAAACTATTGGAGGGCCAGATTATAATTTAAAAAACAAAAACAAAACATGAGTGAATTCCTCTGCACACTGCACACATTTAATTTGTAGTGCAAAAAACACATTAAAACAATACAATAATTAAAATGAAGAACAATTTTAACAAATATAAACTTATTAGTATTTCAATGGGAAGTGTGGGCCTGCTTTTGGCTGATGAGATAGGATTGTTGTTGTTGTTGTTGTTGTTGTTGTTGTTGTTGTTGTTGTTGTGTGCTTTCAAGTCATTTCAGATTTAGGTTGACCCTGAGCGAGGGCCGGGTAAATGACCTTGGAGGGCCGTATCCGGCCCTCGGGCCTTAGTTTGAGGACCCCTGGTTTAAGCGGTATAGGTATTCAAGACATGTATATGAGGTCCACCAACTTCAAAATGCAGATGTGGGATTTGTTTAGTTACCATTCATAACAAAATAATGAATAAAACGGAACTGCGTCTGAGACAGTAAGACAACAATTCATTTTGTCAGAGCTGGGTGGGTGTGACACATAGTTTGATCATCAAGAACTTTCTATAATTAAAGCAATTTTTGTGTAAAACCTGGAATCCCATTTATATCATTTTCCCCATAACAAAAAAAAATGAAATTACAAATGTATTTACAATGACTTCAAAACTTGCTCAGGTGTACAGTTAAAAGAAGTGATCCTGGTCAGCTCCTCAACTGTCCAGCCAAACATCTTGGACACAGGCCATCTGTAACAGTAAGTCCAAGTTTGAGAAAGAGTTAATCTTATCAAACAGCAGCTATCATGGCGCAAGCTTAAAGCTAAGACTGGAGCTCAGACTTAAGTATGATACGTTATAGTGAGAGTTTTCGCCAAAAATATGACATGCTCCAAAAGAGAAATAGGCTGTCTATCCCCATAGTTCGGAGATGCTGATAGCTATATACAGAAGTCTGCAGTCTCAGGAAGCATTGCATGTGGCATAGAGCCATATAGGTGGGACTTAATACGCAAGTTTGTTTCCTGTAGTAACCTCATAGCAATGTGCTGCTTTTGCAAACTTCCTCTGACTTGTCACAATATGCCGTGTTTTCTTTACCTCTTCTGATCACACATCAAGCTCTTCCTTTTTTCACAGTTGCCTATATGTTTATTAATGGGGATAATGGAGCCCCCGGTGGCACAGTGGGTTAAACTCCTGTGCTGGCAGGACTGAAGACCGACAGGTCTCAGGTTCGAATCCGGGGAGAGGCGGATAAGCTCTCTCTGTCAGCTCCAGCTCCTCATGTGGGGACATGAGAGAAGCCTCCCACAGGATGATAAAAACATCAAATCATCCAGGCATCCCCTGGGCAATTCTCTCACACCAGAAGCGACTTGCAGTTCCTCAGGTCGCTCCTGACATGACCAAAAAAAAAAAAAAAAACAGGGATAATTTCTCTGGTGTCATGGAAAAATTTTCTAGAGGTTATCAATGGAGCTTCTTGTACTTCAAACGTTTTAGAGTAACAATAGAAGTATGAAAGGCTACCCTTTACCTCGGGGATTAGCACTGTTTTGCCAAGTAAGTGCTAGTCCTTACTTCTCAATGCACTTTAATATTCAAATAGAGCATTGCGTTTGGTATCCTCTCCAATGTTAGCGAAGAGAACTGGATCCTTAACATGACACAATCGTCCTTCTAAGCAGATATCAATTAAGGTAAAAGGAATGTGAGATCAGATCGTATGTGTTCTTGTTTGGGTGAAATACATAACAAAAAAATCTTGGCCAGTCTTCAAGCATTCTTATGCTGAAGAAACTACAATGTATGCTAGTTTCAGGCAAATCTAATTTAAAAAGTAATTGTCATTTCATGTAAATAGTCCTCAAGCACCACCAGAGAAAGAGAAACTGTTACTAAGGCCCAAGGGATGTCTTCCTGCTCCAAAGTCCAGAGCACAAGCAAGCCTCTTCACTTCTCTCCAGAATTTGGGAACAGAATGATTTTCAGACTGGCTGAGCAGAGGCTTTCCCCTGGTGAGTGCATTTGTGGAACTCCAAATGCAAAATTTAATTATAAGTACTCAGAAGCATATTTAAGGCAGCTAGCCAAAGGAGAAATACAGAAAAGCGTCAAGAACTGATATCATGATCTCAGGGATAATATATGCAAAAGTTCCACAAAAAAACATTATTTACAAGCACACAGCAGATTTTGGATTACATTCCATAAAGTGGGGCTAACAGAACCTGCCTTTGTGTTAAAAAAGAATGGGAAATAGTTCGTTTTGAACATCTTTAGTAACGCCTTCCACTGAAGGCTCAATCAGAAGGGGTTGCCAGAACACTTAATACTTTTTTCTGTTTTTTAAAAAAACATCGAAACAGCACATCCTTAAAAGAGGTTTTGAGCCATCTTCACTGAATGACAGCTCATGCCCAAATCAAGTTCTGCCCTGATTGGAATCGCTCTTCTCAATATTCTGTGATTTTTATGAATGCCCTAGATACTTCTTGCACAACTCACCAAAGCTGGATACCACTCGACCTCCTCAGAACTGGATGTCACGCTGACAACTTTACCAAGCAAGTCATCGCTGAGGCGCCTCTTATCATCTTCCTCCTCTTCGCTACTTTCTTCTTCTTTTTCATCGTCATTACTAGAGGATTAAGAATATGGTGATTTAGGCAGCTTGTACAAGGAGAAAAAGAAAAATACCATGCCGCCGGAGCCACTGTATCCTGACCTCAATATGTCAAGAGGTCTTGGCAAACTCCATGCTCTGTGGACTACCAAAGACGTTGAGATACGAACGTGCACAGATACCGTATATACCCGAGTGTAAGCCGACCCGAATATAAGCTGAGACACCTAACTTGACCTCAAAAAACTAGGAAAACACATTGACTCGAGTATAAGCCGAGGTGGGAAATGCAGCCGTGAATGGTAAATTTCAAAATAAAAATAGATACCAATAAAACTACATTAACTGAGGCATCAGTTGGTGAAATGTTTTTAATATTTACATAAAGCTGTAATTTAAAATAAGACTTTCCAATTCTGATTAAATCATCATTCTAGCCTTCTTCGATATAAATGTCCTTACGTATCTTTCCAATAATAATAGAGTAAAATAATAAATGTAATAATAAAAATAACAATAATAGAGTAAAATAATTAATATAATAACAATACTAAGTAGAGTAAAATAATAAATGTAATAATAACAGAGTAAAATAATAATAATAATAATAATAGAGTACAATAATAAAAATAATAATAGAGTAAAATAATGTAACTGTAGTAATAATAATAAATCTAATAAAATAATACTAATTACACAGAAAAATAATAAATAACATTGACTCGATTATAAGCCAAGGGGGGCTTTTTCAGCCTAAAAAAGGGGCTGAAAAATTAGGCTTATACTCAAGTATATACAGTACTTTTCTTAGGAGTTGCTGGGGATAGACCTATGAACTTTTAAAATGGTGTGTATCATCAGCAGAGCAGCCAAAATGAGCATGCAGTGGGAGAGCACAGTTTGGTTTCGTTCTGAGACTTAGGGATGTCTTTGAACAACCAAGCAGCTCATATTCTATCAGCTTTTGACTTTTTCTTCCACCTTTGCCTCCCTGACTACACTGCGCACAAAGCCTCCTGCTCTGCAACAATCAACCAACGTGGCATCTCCCTACCGATTCCAGAGCACGATGTATGCATATTGGTGGTAGAAGGAAAGAAAGAAGGAGGGAAGGAAAAGAGAAGGAGGGAGGGAAGAGGAGACAAAAGAGAGGGAGGAAAGGAGGCTTGAGGGAAGTTAGGGGGAAGTAACTAACGATAGATAAATCCATTATGATCTTAAGGGGGGAAAGCCTACTAAAATAGGCCAAGTCCTGCATTAAGAAAAACGAAATACTGTGACCATGTAAATTATGCAAATTATAAAAATGTGACTATTTCTGCATAATTCAGCCCAGTTCTGGGGATCAGTGAAAATGTCTTCTATTTGCTCCTATTCTGTCTTCTTCTTTTGCCACATTTTCAAGTCTTTCAGAGCAGTGGGGCGAGAAACTTATGTTAAACTCCTGCTATGTATAACCTTTATCTTGAATGGAACCCTGGAATGCAAACAACGTTAACTTTTCTCCATTGTGGTTTTCAATTTAGAACTTTGACAACTATCTCTAGCAATGATCCCCCAAGCTGTTCTTGCAGGAGAAGACTATTGTATATACTTGAATATAAGCCTAGTTTTTCAGCCCTTTTTAGGGCTGAAAAAGCCCCCCCCCCCCCCCCCGCTTATACTTGAGTGAAAGTCCTGACGGGAGTCCTGATGGGAAGGTGAGGGGCTGAAAGAAGCCCTTCTTTCAGTTCCACACCTTCTCACCATGACCCTCAACTCTCTGCAGAGCAACTCAGCTCTCTCCTCTCTCGCACTTGCCTTCCTCTTCCCCTCTCTTTCTTCCTTGCCTTACTTCTTCTTCCCCTCTCTCTTGCCCCTTCTATCCTCTTCTCTCTCTTTCGGTGGCCCTGGCCCCCAAAGTGGGAGAGAAAGGGGCACATTACTTTTGCCCTTCTCCTTTGCAAAGGCAGCAGCTCCTCAGAAGCGGCGTCTCCTTATTGATTCCGGAGCATGATGTATGGAGTGTTGGTGGTAGAAGGGGAGAAAGAAGGAAGGAATGGGAGAAGGAAGGAAGGAAGGAAAAGAGAGGGAGGGAAGAAGCGAGAAAAGGGAGGTATGAGGGAAGTCAGGGGAAAAGGAAAGATGGGAAAGAGAGGGAATGGAAGAAAAGAAAAAGAAGGAAAAAAGGAGGGAAATAAATCCCCAATAATACTCTAGACTGGGGTCTTTTCCACTTTTCCAGCCCCCCTTTTCACACCTCAGTCGCCCCCCTTCCCCAGCTGCTCCGTACCTACCCCAATCTGTCCTACTTTTCCAACTACCCCTTTTCTACCTCATTTTTCCACTTTTTCAACCATCCATTCCCAATCCAATGTTTTCATGTTTCAGGGCCTTCTTTCTCACCTGCTTCCCTCGTCAGCCTTTCCCACTTTTCCTTATTTCATATACACAAAGCATTTTCCCCAAAATGTATAGTTAAAATAAACTATGGTGATTCTTAGAAGGATACGTAAGGACATTTACACTGAAGGTTAGAATAATGATTTCATCAGAGTTGGGCAGTCTTATCTTAAGTTACAGTTTTATGTAAATATTCAAAAACATTTAACCTAATGATGCCTCAATTAATGTAATTTTATTGGTTTTTATTTTTATTTTTGAAATTTACTATTAGCTGCTGCATTTCCCATCCTCGGCTTATATTCGAATCAATACATTTTCCGAGTTTTTTGTGCTAAATTTAGGTGCCTCGGCTTATATTCGGGTCGGCTTATACTCGAGTATATATGGTATGCCGTTTCAGAAAACACCAAGAGGAGACTGGACAGAGAAAGTCCAAAATACTTCTGGTGATATTAACTTCTTCACCCCAGAAACTATGTGCAGACTAAATTTCCAATCACCTTTCCGGCCTGGATCCACAGAAAAATGTCCATTCTATGCCCTGCCCCAAGAAGCACGGCAGTTGCAAGTAATCTTTGGCCTGCCATTGTAGCATCCTTCTCAGTCCCTTAATATGACACAGCAGACATTTAGAAACAAGAATTTCCAAACCAATGTTTCATATGCCTGGATGGAGGAGATGGCCAATTATTTTGTTCTTTAAAATCTCTCTGAGGCATGGCTCTGTTTTAATTTCTACATAGTTTATTGCACCATTAGCATCGAATGAATCTTTAGCAATAACAATTTTTAAAAAATGTTTAAGACCTATTTCTGCAGCCATTCCCTTACTCGCAGAGGCAACACATTAAATTTTCAACTCACCACTGAAGGCCAATACCTGCTTGGCTCACGTTCATGCAGAGGAAGGTTAAAGCTCATTAAGTTTGAGAAACGGCTACTAAAACCATTAGTGAAATACAGCATCACTCACACAGGAAGAGAGGATCTCCTTCCTCGGTTGGATTTCTTCCCAATGACTGGTGTTCCAAAGTGCTCAGGGTTTGTTAGTGGCAGCTGATCAAGGGTCTAGGAGAAGAGAAAGAAAAACTTGCTTATTTCAGTACAAAGACAAAAAAAGGAAGTATAATTTTCAGAATTGGTTTTAACAGCATTACCTCACTTTCTGCAAAGTGCCTCTCTCCTTTCAAACACAACGATGTCCGCCGCAACGTCCTCTCATCACCATCATCAAAAACTAAAACAAACAGAACAGAACAATATTATATATTGGCGGGAACGAGAGACAGGGCCTTCTCTGTGGCGGGAACGAGAGACTGGCGGGAACGAGAGACAGGGCCTTCTCTGTGGTGGCCCCTCGGCTTTGGAACACCCTCCCTTTAGAGGTACGATCAGCCTCCTCGCTGATGGTGTTTCGGAAGATATTGAAAACATGGCTGTTTAAACAAGCATTCGGTTAGCTGTGGCAATCGAATGTTGATGATTAAAGGACTGGTAATCATGGACGCCGAACATTGGATTGGGATTTGAGCTACGAGATGCACGGAATTATTATTGGTGGCCCAATAATTTGTATTGTATATGTGTTCTATGTTTTTAAATTGAATACTGTTTTTTAACTGTTTTTTAACTGTTGTAAACCGCAATGAGTCGCCGACTTAGGCTGAGATATTAGTGGTATACAAGCGCATAAAATAAATAAATAAATATATAAGATAAATAATTATATTGCCAAAAGGTAGCTACATGAAGGATATGAATTGTTCAAGTTAGCAGTGCCCCCCAAAAGAGTTGTGTCTAAACTGTTCTTGGGAGTTTGAGGCTATCATAGCACGCTGAAACTTTATCACCAATCCTTGTTTCCAGAAGAAGCCAAATTTTCCAAATCCAATTATCACAGAGGGAGAAAGTGAGGTGGAATCTTCTGAACAGGGGCAAAGACAGTAAAGGAAACATCACAAGGGTGTTAAACCTTCCCTATGCTATCCAAAGCTTATATAACAGCAACATCCTTATTTATAATCCGTCCTCTCTTCCCAAAGGGACTCAGGGTAGCTTACAAAGACAAAAACAAAATAGAAATAAATAGCAGTAAAAAAAATTAAAAAGCAATGGAAAATTCACAAATAACACTATCTCTCTCTCTCTCTCTCTCTCTCTCTATCTCTGGTTGGCTGAAGTTACACTTAAAAATATACCTGTTCTAACTTACATGCAAATTCAGCTTAAGAACAAACCTACAAAACCTATCTTGTACATAACTTGGGGTCTGCCTGTATACATTTACGACACACACAGATTCCGTAGGTCTGTCATACAGAGAAAGCCTTTTCCTATATATTCACATATTGAATTGTCTCCAATGGTGAAGTCAGACATGGCCAAAGTGGTCCACGTGTTGGTTACCTGCAGATTGGATTACTGCGACACACACTACGTAGGGCTCTCTTTGAAGATTGCCCAGAAACTGCAACTGGTTTGATATGTCATCATGTATACTAGGGCTGGGCGGTTTCGTTTCGTTAATTCGTAATTCGTTAATAATTCGTTAATTTTTTTCAATTACAAAACGATAACGAACCATTCTGGAGCAATTTAAAAAAACGAATTTTTAAAACGTTTTGTAAATGCTTCGTATTTCGATATTGTATTCGTTTCGTTATTGTTTTGAGGTCGTTTCATTATTATTTCCGCATGTCTGGGCCAGTTTTATGGTTTAATTAGTGAAAAAAAATATAATATCACACCAACAGTCAACAACAGAGGGAGAGGGAAGCTTCAGAAGGTTTTGGAGGTTTTTTAGCGTATTTCGCGGTCGCATCCGCCATTAACGAATCGATTCGTTATTGTTTCGGAAATCGATTCGTTAATTTTTTACCATTTACGAAATTTCGTAAATATCGAACTTTTTAAAAGGAAAATTTTGTAATTATTTTAAATATCGAAACAAAAAACCCCCCCAAATACAAATCGATTTTAGAAACAAATTTTTCCGTTGTTACCCAGGCCTAGCAGCTAGGCTTTTAACTGGAGCTAACTATAGGGAGTGCACAATACCTCTACTAAAGCAGCTCCATTGGCTGACAATACATTGCCGGTCCCAATTCAAGGTGCAGGTTATGACCTAAAAAGCCCTAAACAGTTTGGGCCCTCCCTATCAACTGGCATGGGCTCTTAGAGCCGTCGCAAACTAGGTTCCTGCGGGAGAAAACCTTGCTAGCATGTCCCTGACGTCATGAGACTCCGCCTCTCGCCCCGCCCCTTTCTCCGCCCCTTTCTCTTTGCCAGCGTGGTTTTTCCTTTGCTAGGGGAGCATTGCCCGCATTTTCTCTCAGTTGGCAGAATTCAACTGAGAGAAAATGCGGGCAATGCTGCCCTAGCAAAGGAAAAACCACGCTGGCAAAGAGAAAGGGGCGGAGAAAGGGGCGGGGAGAGAGGCGCAGGCTCATGACGTCAGGGACATGCTAGCAAGGTTTTCTCCCGCAGGAACCTAGTTTGCGACGGGTCTAAGATCTGTTGGGGAGGCCCTCCTTGCGGTCCCGCCACCATCACAAGCCCAGTTGGTGGGGACGAGGGAGAGTTCCTTCTCGGTGGTGGCCCTCCAACTTTGGAACGCTCTCCCCAGGGAGATTAGACAGGCCCCCACACTTTCCTCCTTCCAGAGGGACCTGAAAACCTGGATGTTCTAGCAAGTTTTTGAGAATGATTAGTCCCTAGGTCCTTCCCTAGGATAGTAGTCTGGTCTGCACTTTACCCGCTTCCCAAGCCCTACGATACACTGTTGCACCATCTCTTGCCCATTTATAGTTGGCCATGTCCATTTTGTAATCTCGGCCATTGGTATTTTGAACCTGTCTGATGGCGTTACAATGAAATTGGGTTTAAAAATGTTTGTGTATGTTTTAGCAGGATTTTATGTGTTATGATGCTATGGTTTTTCCATTGGGGCAATTGAATGTTTTGCCTTATATGTTGGAAGCCACCTTGAGTGCCCTTGGAGAGATAGGGTAGCATACAAATAAAATTATTATTATTATTATTATTATTATTATTATTATTATTATTATTATTATTATTGGTGGGTCACTGAGGAAAGCCCCTACCATAAACCTCAATCCTCAGACCAGTGCACATAGAATAAGGTGCTCCTTCAAGCATTACGATCCTAAACCACATAGGGCTTTCAATCAATGTTATCACCATCACCTAGAATTTGGACTGAAAGCATACTGGCCAACAGTGCAATTTCTTTAAGGCTGGTACTATATGGTGTTCTAGTGAACACTCTAGCTACTAAATTTTGCACTACCTGCTGCTTCTGAATTATTTTCAGGGGCAGCCCCACGAAGAGTGTGTTGTACTTGTCTAATTGGACAATTACTGGTGCATGAACTACTGTGGATGGGTTATCCCTGTCCAGGAAAGGTCATAGCTGGTGGGTCAGTCAATATTAGCACCAAGCACTCCAGGCCTCTAACAATAAGAGTTGGATTTAGGACTAAGCATATCCATTGCCTAAGGGAGTTTGCAATCCCACCCCCCCCAGGTCGTAAACCCAAAGGACCACTGCTAAATACACTTTACACGTGATGATTAAATGTATATCTGTTACATGGATATGACCTAGCTGGAGACACATATATTTCTTGATAAAATGGACACGACAGTGGCTATTAGGGTATATTTCGTTCACCACAGCTTCGGGAACAAATCTTCCAGGCCCGTTCAATTATGTCTCCAATTAGCCAAAGTGAAGCTAGATTGTGCATTGAAAATCAAATCAGGATTTTGGACAAAAATTGCTGTTTACCATAAGGGCAGCTACAAGACGAATTCTACTACAGATTACCTGTAACTCCCAGATACAATTGGTGAGAAGTGTCTAAACTATAAACCCCAAAGACTCCAATAAAATTCAAGCCAGAAGCAACAAAAGCAAGAGGCATGATGTCAGGAACATGGCTTTTATCCAGAACAGTAATGAAAAGGCTGAAGTCCCCACATGCCCAACATCTCCTCCAGACAAATAGACAGAGCAGAAAGCATTTCTTGTTTATAAACGTAGCAGTCGAGGTAGTTGGCCTAAGGTTAAAGAAGAACAGAAAAAATCTCTCTTCAACGTACACAGGAGATTCTTCTGCATGGAACAAAGAAAATGCACCACACATCGGAAAACTCCACGATGTCTTCATAGAATCATTGAGTTGGAAGACACCTTGTGGGCCATCTAGTCCAATCCCATTCTGCCAAGCAGGAAAATCACATTCAAAGCAGCCCTGACAGATGGCCATCCAGCCTATGTTCAAAAGCCTCCAAAGAAGGAGCCCCCACCACACTCCGGGACAGAGAGTTCCACTGCTGAACAGCTCTCACAGTCAGGAAGTTCTTCCTAATGTTCAGGTGGAATCTCCTTTCCTGTAGTTTGAAACCACTGTTCCATTGTGTCCTAGTCTCCAGGGCAGCAGAAAACAAGCTTGCTCTCTCCTCCCTATGACTTGATCCATGGACCTTATCAGGTCTCCTCTCAACCTTCTCTTCTGCAGGCTAAACATGCCCAGCTCTTTAAGCCGCTCCTCAAAGGGCTTGTTCTCCTGAGCCTTGATTCTTTGAATCGCCTTCCTGTGGACACATTCCAGCTTGTCAACATGTCCCTTCAACTGCGGTGCCCAGAATTGGACAAAGTATTCCAGGTGTGGTCTGACCAGGGCAGAATAAAGGGGTAGCATGACTTTCCTGCATCTAGACACTAGACTCTTATTTATGCAGGCCAAAATCCCATTGTCTTTTTTAGTTGCCTCATGACATTGTTGGCTCATGTTTAACTTGTTGTCCACAAGGACTCCAAGATATTTTTCACAGGTACTACTGTCGAGCCAGGCATCGTTCCCTATTCTGTATCTTTGCATTTCCTTTTTTCTGCCTAAGTGGAGTATCTTGCGTTTGTCCTTGCGTTTAATTAAGGGCTAATTTTTAATACACAAAGATATGCTGAACTGAAGCCTGGTACCACGGATGTTGAACCTGGAACAAGGTTATTTTTATTCAACCCAAAAAGAACCAGAGTCTAGTATGAACTGTTCAGTGGCAGTTCATACTAGTCAGTTAAACAACTTCCTTCCCACATACATTTTTTACATACAGAAGTGACTTCAGACTGCATTGTATCACAAGCCATAATCTTCATTTTATATTTTCTATAATGACCACTCCTATCAAAGAAGCATTTTCTGCTTCTCC